GAGAGAGAGAGAGAGAGTCGCGCGATGGGCGGCAAGTAACTGACCGCAAAAGCGACGACGAGCTTTTTTATTTATTCCTGTTTTCTTTTACTCGGAGACCCCATTCGTTCATTAGACTCGACCGTCCATGCAACACGCTCGCGCAGGCCGAAGTCGGTGCCGAGTTTTCTCTCGGACCACACAGTACATCCCTCATCCTATCTTCTCCCTGACTCGAAATTCCGTGCCTCAGTCTTTTCTCTCAGCTGTTGGTAGTTCGAAGTAATTTGAAAATGTGATCGTGTCTAGATTTTCACCGGGTGCGTGCTATTTTATTCTGAATTTATTTTGTTTCCATTGTAAGATATTTTTTATTACAATATATAACGCAAGGAAGTGAAATGTTTATATTACAAAAAGTGAAATAAAAAAACGTTAATACGGCAAGGAAAATTAAATAAATTACACTTACTATTATTTTTTTTACATTAATTATTTTGATAAATATTTTTTTTACTTATATTCGAATCTTCGCCTTTGTAGCTGCACGCCAATAAGAACATAGTAGCTCTATATTCTCTAAAAATTTGCAGTCATTAGTCTTTGTTTTTCCTTTCCCTTTGTATAACTAATTCTCGCACATCTTGTCTAAGATCTGGAACGCGTTTTCGCGGTGTCGGGTCGGCCGCATTATAAAACTTCCTGGTTTTCCTAGCCGGCGAGATTGAAAGCAGTCGAGGCGGAAGTAAATCGTAGAACGCGTTTGATCTTAAACCGTCCGAGCTATTTTTGATGCAAGCGCATGTTCGTTTCGTTCTCTCCTCGCGAGAAAGGAAGAGGGAGAGAGAAAGCGGCTCTTTCATTGATTAATACACCGGCGGGACGCCGGTACTTAAGCCTGAGGCTGTATGCATTTAATTACGTAATGTCAGACACACGGTGTAGCTAAATAAACACGCGCAACACACGCGGAGATGCGTAGGGTGGCAGTTTGATATGGGGGTGGTAGCAGTAAGCATCTGTATTCGCGAAATCTTTCGGTGCCGGGTACTTGGAGGCAGGTACGCAGGCATTCGTGCTGAACGTCGGTGTAACAGTCCGGCCCGGGGCTAATGTTTCAGTAGCAACGCGAACCTTTACCCTTTCGCTCGCTCACGCGCGTGTCTCCCTT